CAAAGAAGTTATCACATCATAAAAAGGGTTATTTATACAGCAGTATCATTTATGTCAGCAGCAATAACCACAACATTTTGGCATCTTCCCTTGGCTTTGATACCATGGGTTTCTGGCTGTTTTTAGAGTTAAAACATAATATCAGTTAGAGTTGCTAAGTGTCACTATAAATAGATCCATGATTGAAAAATCTAGCTAGTATGTAAGCTTCTGCAACTAGAAGTGTGTGTGTAACAAAAGTTTTCAAGAATGAATTAAATGAAAGTGAGTTAGAAATTTTTAACCATTAATAGACCTGCCCGGGATATTTTATAGACATTCTTTTCTGCAACATCCTTTTTCAGGTCTAGCTGAATTAATATTAGTTTTGTGTAGAAAGAGGTAAATTTTAATCTAGAACAAAGCTTGCCTTCACAGTTACCATTAAAATGCATAGTCCTAAACCTAAATTACAGAGGATCAATTTCACCTGGTTATGCTCAGTAAAGCCACACTGGAGGACTCAAATCATCACAGACAGCATGCCACAGATGTCAAAGAAAATTTTTTAAAAAAGAGGAAATAACCTGGAGACATTAGTCAATTCAAATAAATAGTAAAACTTTCTTTGCTGAAAACCATTGTGGAAAGCAAGGGGTGCAGTGACTCTGCTGTCAGGATCTTTGTGCCCTTCTATACAGTGGTGAGAGAAGCAAATTTTGAGGGACACTGTGATCTAGAGGGTATTACTAGGCTCTGTTATCCAGGGTACCAGGAAAGCTGGAGAACAACTTCAGTCTCAGTGCTGGATCCTGGCTTGAGGCTCTCAGATAAGTTGGGCTGAGTTAAACTTAGTCCTTACCTTGCTTGTCCTCACCACTTACGAGTTTCTGCAGGTAACAAAGACTAACAGAAAAAAATTGTGCTAGCAGTGTAGCTATACAACCTTTTGCTTTTCTGGTGGTCGTTTTTATAAGCTTCCCAAAACTTGTGATGATGCCATTGAATGAATGACAGTAAAGCCTCCCAGAGAAGAAGAGACTTGAATGTTAAATATAAAAAAGGCCAAGAAATCGTCTTGCCATCCTAGGTTTTTCTGTCCAACATGATATAACCAAAGATGTCTTTTGCCTTTCATATCCAAACAAATCATCCTCTCAAGCTGTATAAATTCTCTCTTCAGAGCTTTTGACAGCCACATTCCCATAGCTTATGTCACTGTGCACTTCTTCTGTGGCACATGGGGATCAGAGAATGATCCTGCTAGAGCCTGGCATATCGCTCAGCTACATGCACATTTCCATAATTTTATCTTTGATCTAATAAGAACTCAATATTCTTGTCATAAAACATTGTTTTTTCTTTCATAGTACGCTGATCATAGGTCCCAAATAGAAAGCATGAAGTACCCAGGTTTTGGATAGCTCTGATCATCAGTATGTACCAGCTCAAAACCTCTTGCAAGCAACCCTGAAAAACAGAAATGCACTGATGACTGTAGACGTGAAGATGGAAGACTTAGATCTGATACCACTGAAAATGCTGCCTTAGTAAATCAGTAACATCTGCCATGGCCCTTCACATTTACAAAATAATTTACAAATATTAATTAATCACCACAGCATTTGTGTTGGGTTGTAGAAAATTCTAATCATAGGCAGAAGTAGAATATTTTTCAGGCATTCATATGAATGTCAAATCTGTAGCTGAAGGACTAGACAAACCAATTACAGACACACGATATATCCATGTCTATCCAAGCACAGCTCAGAGCTCAGCCATGGCCTTTTGGGAGCCCAGCACTCATTGTCTGTGTGTGTGGCATCATGTGTGCAGTGTGCTCACCATTGTTGCTCAGCGTTTGTGCTGGCATCAAGGAACACCAAAGAGCCTGAGACAGGAACTGGCTATGGCCCAGAGACTCACCTGAGGCATCTCCTGATCAGTGCCTGGGAGCACATCTCTTCTCCCCAGCAGCTTAGAGACTGTACTGGGTTGGAGTTTATTCATAGCAGCTCATCTTGTGTTGTATTTTAGATTTGCAACCAAAGCAATACTGATAAAACAGTAATATTTTAAAAATTGCTGAAAAGTGCCTCCACAGAATCAAAGCCTTCTCTGCTTCTCACTCTGTGCCCTCTCCCCAGTGAATAGACTGAGGGTGTACAAGACACTGGGAGGGGACACAACCAGGCAGATGACTTAAATTAAACAAAGAGATATTCCATGCCATGTAATGTCATGCTCAGCAGTAAAACAGAGAAGAGGAGACTTAAAGAGATTAGTCCTCTTTTTTCAGGAACTGGCTGGGCATAGGTCTACCTGTCTCAGGACAAATTTAGGCTAAAGCCTTGGAGGCAGCTTTTTTACAGCAGCTGAAAATTGGGTCCACATGCCTTATACTACCCTCATCTCACATATAATCTTTCTGATACATATCTATTTCCTTTAAATGACATTATCACCTTTAAATCTATCTATACTTATTTAAAATCTGTAGCCATGGAAGTCAAGACATTTGAACTCAAGGGTTCCTTGACTCTTTCCATTGATCTGTGATAGGAGGAAGTAAAAACAGAGGCAAATACAGGCCAGGTTGTACCCAATGGGTAGTATCCATTTTCCTCCCCAAGAGAGAATGTGCTTAAGAGGTCCTTCATTCTCATCACCTCTTATATGTGTGTCTTCTCTACTCTGTCGAAAAGTATCATGAAAACTGCCATCAGGCCTGTCTGCTGGAAGGCAAGAGGTGACCTGCTGATAGTGAATAAGTGTTTCTGAGAAAAAGATGAATCATCAAGAAGACCCTGCATGAAGAGAGGAGGCAACACTTCAATAAGACAGAGAAGGTGAAATCATTTAGATGTGTAAAAAGAAGGGTGATAAGGAAATATGAGAGATTAAGAAACTCTCTTCAAGTCGAATCATGGATGGATATGTGAGGCTAAGTTTGCCTGCATCAAATTCAGCTTTACCATAACTCAGTGGACTACTTGTATTAGCATACTTACTTCTCTAAGGCAGGAAAATGAGGGAGGGACAATGGAGTTTTGGCCAGTGTATGAGTAGGGACATGCTCAGAGCTCACATTGTACCACTTAGCATTACTCAGATGACTGCAATTACTGGGAAGGGTAGGTATTGTATCTTCCACTGAATTCAACAAATTATAGATCAGGATCCTCAAATTTGGATCAATAAGTTAATTTTTTATCCTGTCCAATACATTTTTCATACTATCAGGTACAAAAGGCATAGATCACTGGTCAATACCCTATAATTCGTTTATTGGCATTGTATTAAACTTGACACTTTTTTCTCATCATGCTGTCTAAATTTTTCATTAAAACTAGGCTTGATGCAACACTTAGAAAATGTGAACAACAATAATTAACTTCCTCTTTTTCCTTCTGTGTTGCTTTGTATATTCATGACTGCTTCACGACCTGGAGGGCATTACGCCTGTCTGCTCTCTGTCACTGGTGCTCACTAACCCAGTTTACACTTATTGGTTAGGCTCTTCCATTATTCTTTTCTAATGCAGACCTACACAAAACTGAATTGACTTGGGATATCACATCACAGGTGCTCACGAGGCCTGTGAAAGGTATTGTCTTTACAAAATTTTGGGAAGATTGAAGGTTTCCCCTGCTAAAGAAAAAGCTATCATGTGGAGCACTGTTGTTCAAAACCTTTATCTGTGTCTTGCTGACTGAGCAATCTTCTTAAGTGAAACTATGCACACAGACCACATTGAGGTGTGGTGGCTACAGGATAGGGATCCTCCTGGTTTCTGGCCAGCACATGCCAGAGGTTAGTCAACATTCGTAATTTTTAAATTACTGAAATGGAAGGAATCACTGTACAACCAATCAAGCAGCACTCGAGGAGGAAGGAAACATAATACAGTATTAGTTTATTAGTTTATCCATTGCTCACGGTTTGATGAGCATAGTAAAGTGCTGCAATTGTATTTAGTAGCAAATCTGTCTTTTAAACCTACCTGTAGATGAAGAAAAATATTTATTTAATGCTTGAAAGTGTTTTTTCAGGGACTTTGAAGAATCCTAATTCAAAATATCTCAATTTCTATTTCATTTTAGTAAAATGTTCAGACTCCAAATTTTTTTCATCTGTGTTGAATCTCCATTTAAGAAACTTCTGAAGCTTGATTGCAGTGGAGTTGCTTCTTACAAATGTATACATTGTGACATCAGATAGAACCTCAGTACTCTCCAGTGTGCTCAATTATTAAATATTTGCATAAAATTATTGCATGTTTCTAGCTTCCTGAAAGATGTCAGTGAATAGCTCTGTATTTGTGCAAAGTACTGCTCATGATGAAAAGCTAGAAAAAGCTTATTGCTGTCTTTTATTCAATAATTGTTTGCATAAAATTTTGTTATATACTTTGAGTTGATCTCCAAACACACCAAAGAAGAGTACCTCCCTTCACCCAGTCTGATAAAAAATAAACGAGGATGATGAACATTCAAAAGGTAAAGGAGAAGAAATGTAAGAAAACAGGACTGTCCAGACTCACAGATCAATTACTGTGCAACTTAATATGCAAGATGATTGCAAATATTTGTTTAGATTAAGTAGGGAAACAGACCACCTGCAGCAGTGGACAACCTGATCACCCCACTTCAACTGCTTTCTGATTTGAAGTTTGGAATTTATGTTGTTTTTTTCAGTTTGTAAAATCCTGTTTGTGCACAGTGAAGCCAGACTCCAAGTGTTTAGTTTTATTCATGAACGAGTTGGTCTGTTCTTTGAAGCAGCATACCAGTACTCCCTTTGTGGAAGGGCTGCCTTGTGCCCGAGGCATATGTGATTGCATAAACTTAATCAATACCTCAGTAAAATCCCTTACTGTCTGATACATGTTTTTATGCTTTAAACTACCTCCTGTGAAGCACTCAAACCATAATGTATAGAAAATCAAAGGCTGTGTAATTGCTGTCTTATCCTGATGCACAGCATTCTGTACTTTATTATGTTTTCTGGTAGTTTTATTAAAGAGTTTTTTTTTTTTAATTTTCAGACACCTCTGTAAGTATGATGACAGGCAGAATATTTTCCTTGGCTTATGTGTTCTTTGAAGAGTTTTTTCTCTTCTTTCACTCTCTTAAACAGCGGTAACCAGACTTAAATAATTTCAACAGAATTGATGCTTTCTTCATCTGGGTTGCCTTCTTTGACTAGTACCAAATAATTTAAGCCCTCTTGATTCCTTGTTTCCATTAGTGTGGCTGAAAGAATGCTGTCTGAATCTGCACATGGGATATCATTATCTGCATTAAAAGAAAAAAATAATGAGAAAAGAAAACAAAAGGGATTTTTTTTTAATTAAAAAAGAAAAAAATAATAAAATACAACATCCCAGTAACATACATGTAGTATATGCAGTATTAGAAAGCAAACAAAATGAGACAGCTGTTGGAGAAAGTTGGTCTAGTGACCTCATAAGAATGATGATTCAAATTTATTTTCTGCTATTGTCTGTGTGGACCAGAACTTTAGGTAAATCACTTGGGGAAGGTTGCTTATCAGTGTTCTTACCTTCAGAGGCGGCAATACAGTCATGAATACATTACTTGCTTCTTTTCCTTGTAAAGAAGCATAAAGCTAAAGTGATTTTAATCTGAACCTGTGTAGTAATCCTGCTAATAATACTGCTAAAGAGTCCTGTAACATTGGCAGTTTTCTATCTGCAAAATCATTATATACTGTTTCTCTAGAGGACTAGTCTAGACTTCTGTCTCTCTAGTATTCTGCCCTTCTAGAGGCTTAATCCACTGTGCTTTTCACGTTTTTGAAAACTTCCTATTTTTCCCTAATTTGATGCAGTTCACATATACATAGTTGCTTGAAATTTATTTCAGGGGATATAATTTTTTTTTAAAATAAAAATTGTTAACTAAACACTCAAGTTACAACCGCTATTATTCTTTTCATTTATTTTTGTAACATGTACCTTCTTTTATTACACTTCCTCCTTATTTTACTTCATAACTGAAAAATTAATAATGTGACATTCAGGGTTATCTGTTCAAAGGAATAACAAGCATTGTGCTATTCCACCAGGCAACACACAATTTATTATGTCACTATAATCACACATCTCCCCAAGCTATAAAGTCGGAAATTTATTCCACATGCTAGAGCCCAGTAGCATAGGAAGTATCATCAGGAAAAGTCTGAAAGAGAATTTGGATTTCAGAAACCTGTTAGTAAGATGGGGTATGGGACACAGAACAAATTGTGGTCACATACTACAGTGACTGACAGCAATGAGAAATCATTTGATACTCACTTTGTCAGTTCAGGGCTATTATGGTCATGTTTAGTAATTCAGCTCCAATCAAGCCTTTACCAACCAATTCAGCTCTTCTCTGTTGTTGTTTTTTTGTTTAATTTAATGACAACCTTCAGGGACAAGTTGCTTTGGAAAAGGCAAACAGGCAAATGCTGAGGGGACGTTTGCAACAAACTCTTAAGAGGGAAACCTTAAAATAAGGACCCAAGTAAAACTGGGTATTTACAGACCAGACATATGCCGGCTGACCTGCCTAAGTATAGAACACTAGAGGAGCATTCAGATTTGTTTCCTGTATAAGTATCTGGAACTGATGAGGTGATGTTTACACAAATGTGAGTATGAGGTCATTGAGATATTTTTACCAGATATATAGATACATTACTAATTCTTTCCCCAACAGGTCTGAAGAAGTACAGAATATATAAAATTTTATAATCCTTTTTCAGCCTATGCGCCACTGTGTTTCTCATTACAGAAAAAAAGAGCTGAAAAATCAAACACATTGCCTTGGTTTTACTTTTTGAGCTGTAGGAATGCAATAAGGAAGAAATACTATTTTTGCAGAAAATTCTTATCATATCCAATGATGGAGGAAGAATATAATATTGATGACCTTTCTCCTATGACATGACATATGTAAGATACATTGCCACTTTCACTGTGACATTTTTGACTGTAAGTGCCCTTTCCTTCACTGTTGAGTCATCTCTTAGTGCAGTGTTCAGCACTGATGAAAGCTTAGAACCATTCTATTGTACAAGGCAAAGCTACACAAAGATCTCAAGTTATATAGTACAATGCTTGACTGTTATGTAAGTCAGCAAAGCAAGCAAATTATTTTTGCTCATTTAGTTGGAACAGAAGAATGGATGGAGACAGAAAACGCTAAAAATGAGCAATTGAAGAAAAAATTCATTATATGTTGTGAAATTCCCCCAGAAATGTGAGGACTAGAAGCACCACCAGTACCCAGCGCCCTGGGAAGCCATAAGTCAATTCAGAGAATTCTGAATAATCTTTGGAAGGCCCTCCTAAAAGTGTTAAGAAATTGAAGGAAGATAGAGGGCAGGTTGGTATATTTATGAGATATCATTCTTTTCTTTTCAGTTTTAACATTGCTAAAATTAGTTGATTGATGTACAGTCATGCTGGGTTATACGTGAGTAAATGCAGGATAAACCATGTGATGTGATCCCCTCAGATTTCACAAGCAAAGCTGGGCTGAGTCAACAAAACACCCCAAGAGGAGACGTCCAAGGAGCACCTTCATGAAATCTGAAGTCCTGCTGGAGAGTCGGCTCCACAGGCTTGAATTCTGAGGGGTCGTCTACACTGTGAACTGCTGCATAGTGTAGAGTTACCCACGTTTGCTCTAAACAACCTACCTCAGGGCACGGGGCAGGCTTGCTGTGTCAGTCCAGAGCTTTGTACAGGCTGAGGAATACCCCACACCCCACTGAGCCCTGTGCTGTTCCACGCAGGCTGCTTCCCATAGCTAAAACTGCAAGGTCAAAGCTCAGCATTGTACTTGCACAGACACGTCTCAGGTCCTTAATGCATATGGCTTTGACCTTGCTGGACACTTTCCCTAGTAAAGCTGTGCTTAAAGCTTGCGCTTAGAACTTGTGCGTAAAGCAAATCTGAGCCAAACTGCAGGTAAATGAATTACAGCACCTCTCTCCGGGGATAGGCAGCAGCTTACTCTGGAGAGCCCCACAGTAACTGACACAAGAAACAATGATCCCCTGACTCATACTAATGAGGAATGGAGTTTGCTTGCTTAGCCTCCTCTGAGAAGACCAGCCCTGACCTGATAAAATCGGTGCTTTCTCCTTTCCGATCCCAGCATCTCAGCCGGCTGCTTCCTGTCGCAGGGCAGCCACAGCGCCGAGCCGTGCTGCGGATCCTGCCTCAGGACAGTGCCTTTCCTTGCCTGCTTGGTAAACTCTGGGGACTCACAACATGTTTTGAAGTCCTGCCTGGAAGGGTGCAAATTTTTGTGATGTCTTGATAAGCAGATGAGGGGGTTTTGGTGTTTAAATTCAAGAAGGTGACAACACTTAAGAAGAGAAAGGATGTCAGTAGAAAAGCTTGAGACTGAATAAACTGAACTAGAGATGCTGATCTTGTATTACAGCTATTTCAGGGCCAGACCCTCAGCTAGCACAAATTAATGAAGTTCCATTGAAACCAGTGGGGTGCCACCAATTTACACCAGCTGAGTAGTCAGCCTGAGACGTTACTAATTCCGGGTGACATAATCCCATATGATGCTTAGCACCTTCAGTATGGCTAGGTATTTAGAAGTCCAGCCACATTTGCTATTTCTCAGTAATACTCTCTTCTTCTTCTGGTACATACTCTGTCCTTTGTCACTGCTACAACGTATGTGGCAGTAAACAAGAGACTGGCTGAAATATATACCCCACAGCAAACACATTCAAGAGAAACACCTGATGACATGTCTTTGTTAAGGGTGCAAAAGGTGGCTATTGAACCTTGACTTCTTTACCTCAGCCATGTTGGTTTGCCCAAGGAGACAGCTCCTGTGTAGAGAGTATTTTCCTGATACCTGATGGCCACCTGGAGCTGGAGGGGCTGTGTTTCAGTTTCTGCACATAGCCAGTAAGAATAAAAATAGAACAAATATATATCCGTTTTAATACTCCACTCTGTATTATGTATCAGTGGAGATATATCTGTGTTTCCTGCCTAATGAAGCATATGATCTTGCATGGTTTGAGGGTGACTCACTGAGCTTTGCTATTCTGCTAGACACTAAAGGTGCTAAAAGTGAGAATTTTGTTCACCTCACATTTCCGCTGCACTAATCTGCTTGAAGCAGCGCCTTTCTTTTTATTTTAATATATTTTTTAGAGAACTGTGCACTGAAATGTCTGTGTGTAAGAGTTACTGTCCTAGCAATTACAGATATAAATATGCTTCTTACTTAGTTTATGAAAATTTATAATATAAATGCACAAAATACCCTCTAGTTCCACCTTTGTTGCAATGCAGTAATGCTATACAAATAGGAAAGCACTCCCTTTTCTCCAGGTCACAAAACAGGATTCGTTTTACCAAGTTTTAATACCCAGGTCTTACATGTCCAATTTAAGCTCCTTGCCAAGTCTGTCTTTACAATCAACAGAGAAAAGAGGAATTAATCACTTTGTGGAGATGCTTAATCGACTTCCTTGCCTTTACACACTAACATCCCCTGAATATGTCTACAAGTCTCTAGTGACTGTCAAACAGCACAGACACCCAGTGTAAATGCAGTTTTTATGTTTTAGTTGCTTCTATCAATCCACATCTGTCTACACAAATGTCAGCTCTTACAGTCTTATACCATCTGATTTTTTCCTTCAGTCTACAGTAAAGTATTGGCATAACTTCACTTGCAGCATCATATGGCTCATGTGCACTCTCTGAAGTCAAACACCATTTGTCTGGAGTACAAATAAGAAATGATTATACCACCAAGTTCCCCTTTACTTGCAGTGTTGTAACCACTCACTCTTTTTTGGAAGCAGCTTTTTCTCTGACCTCTGCAGGCTTTGGGTCAGCCACTCACTAAGCTAAGTGGGGAAGAGGATTACTGAATTTCAGAAAAATACAAAGGAGACTAGATACAAGGTTCTAAAAATGTCTCTTATCAACACATCTGCTTTAGAGAAGCTTCCGTTTGGCCAAGTGATTACTTTACGTTCAGAGAGCTGCATGGAGTAGTTTTTAAAAGGTAGTGTGGTTTAGGAAAATAAACTGATGACTTACATGGGGAACAGAAAACAAGTACTTAGCCAGTGCAGATTGCAAACATACAATTAATAATGAAATCACTGATTCTAGCTTTAATATAAAGTCCTCTCACTGCAAAATTTTGCAAAGAGATTTAAAAAAAATACAAATGTCAGTTGCAGCAAGTACCTGAACAGCTAAAGAAATAAATACACTGATTTTGGAAAGAAA